CTTTGGGTATTTGTATCTAGAGAAAAGAAGGTTGTACTTACTTGTTTAAAACATTGGAGTACATTTAGGGCCCTTTTAGTCTAATTGATTGGATTTGGTTAAAATATATATAGTTTGTATATAATATACAAATATACGTAATTTTGTCACCCTATTTTTCTCTGAGTCTTTTGCACTATCAAGCAAACCATATAACATATCTTTATTTGCATGTATTATTATCATGGGGGGCGGAGAGGGGAGTAACTTACAAAGGAATGAGTACCCAGTTCCCCATGCCACAGGCTTCCCCACAGCTTGCAGCTTCTGTTTCCAGATGGCTTCCAGCAGCCCCTCAGTAGTCCCCTCTCTGCAGCAGGTCCCACCCTTTGGAGGAACTACCCAATTGGGAGACAAATATGTATGTACACAAAATTTGAATTGAAAACTGGGCTTTTTAGCCAAAGTATATTGAATAATTAGGAAAATACATATATATTTTTACAAAGAGTGAAAATACTTAAATCTTTTAAACATGAAAACTAGTTGAGTAAGGTAGGGGTCCTGGGTAAGCATTTATAACTGAAACCAAAATTAGTATTATTTTATCATTAAGGCATATACTAAGTGAAATTAGATATTAGAAACCATTAAAAATAGCTAAGTATAAAAGAGTTTAAGGACCCAAAAATGAAAGAAATGTTCAGTTACTTGGGGTACTTGATTACCAATTAGTTGAAGATATCTTTGAAATCCACATGGATGAGTCCTTAGATGAATTTTGTACATGGGGCTCTTAAAGTTCATCTCCTTGAATTTTGTAGTACAGGAGTAGGTTAGAAGTATCTGGATATAGTCTTTACTCTCCAGTTGAATGGAGTATTTGATGTGATGTTTTTTATTTCAGTTGATGGAATCCTATGGTTTTCTTTATCTTTCAAGGAAGATTCCACAACTTTTGAATTTTTAGTAATCATATTTAGAAGTCCTTGTTTTTTTAAACAAATTACCTTAAAACAAACACTTTGAAAGCAAATCAAAAACAATAAAGGTACCTAATAAATAGGATCCTTAAACAACCGGCTCAGAATAAACAAATGGACCATCAGCCGAACCAAGGGAGGTCTGAGAGCCCCAGAAAAAACTCACTACAATCTATCTGAAGAGCTACTACCAGATGGCTGGACTCAATGGATCCAGCTGGTACCTGCTCCATCCAGGTGACTCCACTGATGAAAAGTGGATAATTGGGGGCTGGAGAGATGGTTCAGTGGTTAAGAGCACTGACTGCTCTTTTAGAGGACTGGGACTCTTAAAAGTCCTAGCACCCACATGGCAACAACGAACCATCCTTGACTCCAGTTCCAGAGGAATCCGAAGCCCTCTTCTGACCTCCGGGACATTGCACAGCATAGATGCACTCACATACATTCAGGCAGTACACTCATACACATTAAATAAAAATAATAAATAAAACACTTTAATAAAAAGAAAAGCAGATAATTTTTGGGGGCCCCACGTTGTAGTGCCATAACTGTCGATGCAAAAACACAACTCACCTCAAAGGGGCTAAGAGTTTATTCTGGAGCCAAATATGAGTGGCCATGGCCCGGGAACACAGATTCAGGTTACCCCAAATTCCATGTTCCAGCTTGGTAACAGTTACATTATTTTCATTTGTTTGTTTTTTTGTCTGTTTTTGAGACAGGGTCTCCTTGTAGTCCCAGCTTTCCTGGCACTCACTATGTAGACCAGGCTGGCCTTGAACTCACAAAGATCCACCTGCCTCTGCCTCCCAAGTGCTGGGATCAAAGATGTGCGCCACCATGCCCGGCTTAGATTATGTTTTTATAGTAACAGAAGAAAGAAAAGTCATAAGGCAAGACATCTTTCAAATACATTGCTGGATACATTCAGTAGGCAGTTCGCAGCAAAGTGGGGGAGGTCTCAGATGCTATCTGATGACATTCTTAGCTTTTTGATTGTTGAGTCCTAGTGGTCTGCTAAATTAATACATTTTATTAGTCACAAGAATGTTAATTCAGAAACAGAGGTGAAGAGCCAGAATGCTCTGACTCCATTTTGGCTAGCTTCTTTAGACAAGCCCAGACAAGCTCAGGCATATTGTACATGTAAAAGCCTTATAAGGTATGAACAAAAACTTCTGACTCTAAAAGACATTAGTCAGCACATTCCAGTGCCCTGAAGACAGCCCCTACCAATCAAGACTTTCCCGGTACACAGGATATGGGGACAGCCAGTTTTTTAAAAAAGATGCTCGGTGCACACGGGTTTCTGTGGAGTGCCCCAATAAAAGCTCCTGCCTGCTATTTTTAGGGGCCAGACTCCATCTTTGGCTCATGAAGTCTGTGCTTCGCTAGCTTTCATTTGGTTGTTGTCTTTTTTTACTTTAAATTCTTGAATAAACTTTTTATATAATCTTTTTGGGTGTCTGTGGGAATTAGTCTTGATTCTCAAACCCTAACAAGAGGTAGGCAAGGTGTGGTTATTTGGGGGGTTAAAGATGTCCCCAGATGAATTGTGAATAGGCTCTGGCTCAGCAACATTCCAGACTCTCCACAATCTCAGGAGTGCTAATCAGTTGGTTAGCCTTTCAGGAAATTCAGCCCAAGATGCAGGAGTTCTTTCTGGGAACTTTCTTTCATAGTTTCTTCATGAAATGCAGGCTAGGCAGGCTGCTTTCCCTCAATGCTTCCTATGATGAGTGTCGCTGGATTCATCCAAATGGTACAGCCACCCACATGGACTCATAGGGATAATATCCCATGCACAAATACAGTTACTAGCCAACAACTTAGACACCACAAGATGGGGAGGCACCTAACTCCATGTCACCCAACTTTCAACAGGAAACATTCAGATTGGTATGTTGCCCACTACCTCAAAAGGCCTGTCTCCAGCCCTTCCTTAAAATTATCCATCTGTGGGTCTGGAGAGATGGCTCAGCAGGTTAAGAGCACTAGCTGCCCTTCCAGAGGACATGAGTTCAGTTCCCAGCACCCACATGGTAGCTAACAACCATCCTTAACTCCTGTTCCAGGGGATATGACACTCCCTGCTTTCGTTTCTGTGGTCATTGCAAGACATGGGTTCAGTCAAAACACTCATACACATAAAAGAGAAATAAATTCAAAATCCCCCATCTTAAAAAATTATGTTTCTTTCATATATAAATCAGAAAGCTGAAAACGATCCATTTCAGGCCAAAAACCACTCAGATCATGCCCATTTAAGACTGTGGATCTTCTTTCTTAGAATGATTCTTCTACTGAAAAATGACAGGCACTCTACTGAGAGTCTATGAATTTGTAATCCCTACTTCTCAGGAGTTTACCAGCCCTGTCCACCAGGAAGCTGGACTGTAGCAAGTTAAAAAGGCACCCTGCTGTGTATTAAAACAAGGAAACAACAATCTAAGGAGGGAGAAAAGTCTGGGTCAATAGAGATAGGTGCTGTCGTGTATTTCTGGTGAGGCAAGTTCTTTTTACTTTTTAAACATTACATTTATTTATGTGTATGTGTGTGGGTGTTCATGCCATACTACATGTGTGCAGGTCAGAGGACAACCTGTGGGAGTCAGTTCTTTCCTTCTATCATGTGAGTTCCCAGGTTTTGAGCTGCCAGACTTGGTGGCAAGTATCCTTACTGATGAGCCTTCTAGCTGGCTCAAGGCAATTTCTGTATCCACATGGGCAACTACAGAGGGTGCTGGGGTTTGACTTTATTTGGGTCACAGGAGACAGGGGAGTGGAGGAAGACTTACTCATGTCACTGATAATATCAATAGCATGGAAGGGTCTCTGAGGAGAGTTCAGAACCACTTGGTAGGGTATGTGAAGAACTCTTATAGCTTTCAGAGGGGAAGTTCCATCCCATATATTTGATGAGTCATCCACAGAATGGGCCTGCAGCCAGACTGTCCCTGATTTTCTGGTGGCTGGGGGAGTGAAGGAGGGCCTGCATTACAGGGAGGAAATGTGTGACCTTGAGGATGTTGTAGGAGAGAAGAGGCATATTTTAAGGTGCGCCCATTATAGGAGTGGGGGAATGTGCCACCACCCTTTGATGTTTTGGAGTTAAAAGGAAAATAACATGAAGTTGTAATCTCTGAGTATATATTATACCAAAAAGATCTAAAAGAAAAGCAAGGAGAGCCAGAGATGCAGCTCAGCAGGTAAAAGCACTTCAAGAGCAAACCTGATTACCTGAGTTTGATCCCTGGAAGCCACACAAAGGTAATGTTACTCTCTAGGGGTCCGGATAGGGTTCACTTTCTCTATCAATTAAAGAGTTAAAAGTCAAGGAAAACCTCAGGCAGAGTATTGGAGATAATTGCTCTGTTTGAACTCTGCAGAAAGCATACTTTTAGTCAAGTGAGCAAAGTTGCCAGTAGACAGGAGTGTCTATGATGCCAGAGCCAGATAGACACATATGCAGACTCAGGTTCTGAAGTGCAGTGTCCTTTGTTTTTAGATTAGATAAAAAAACTATGCCTTCTTTACACTGTTGTGTGAACATTTGTTCTGTACCTTGCAGACAGGCCACACTTTGTTACTAATTGTTTCCTGAGCTCCTGCAGAGAAATGTCCTTTGATCTGCTTACCCTTTGTTCCTTTATACCTGCTTAGAACACTCTTCCTGAGAATAAAATCTTGAAAGTGTGAGACTCAGTGCTTTTTGTTCTTCTGAACAGGGAGCCTCCTGGTACTCAATATTTCCTTAATACTAAATTGTATTATGTGTAATATTTTATTATTAGCTATTGTGCCATCCCTCATCTGTATCCACCATTACCTAGTCACAAAGGATGTAGCAACACAGCAGAAAGAAGCAGGTAACAAACTTCATTAAGAATGATGAAACACAGGCCTGCACAAAATTACATGGAAAGAAAAGCTCTCCAAAGTGGAGAGTGGATTTGGAAACTGAAAAATCCAAAACCCCCAGGAAAGCTTGGGCCTTTTAGGTGTTTTAAGTGTGTAACTCTCCTTCAATTTTAGATTGGTCAACTTAAACAAAGAAGAGCAAGTTCATAGGATAGAACATTTCCAAGTTGAGATATATGTACATGGAAGCCACATAAAGGTAATGCTATCTGTCGACGAAAAGCGTAACTCTCACCTCAAACAGGATAAGAGATAGTTTATTCTGGAGCCAAATATGACTGACCATGGCCTGGGAACACAGACTCAGGTTACCCCAAATTCCATGTTCCAGCATGGTAACAGTTGCCTTACATTTTTATAGTAACAGAACAAAGAAAAGTCATAAATCAAGACACTTTTCAAATACATTAGAGGATATATTCAGTAGGCGGGTCACAGCAGAGCAAGGAGTTTTGGTTTTTTTTTTGTAAATATTTTATTATTTTTATTTTATGTGTATGAGTGTATTGCCTGGATGTATGTAAGTGCACCCATGTTGTGCAATGCTGCAGAGGTCAGAAGAGGGCTTCAGATCCTCCTGGAACTGGAGTTAAGGATGGTTTGTAGCTGCCATGTGGGTGCTGGGAATCGAACCCGGGTCCTCTGCAAGAACAGTCAGTGCTCTTAACTGCTGAGCCATCTCTCCAGCCCTTCAAGTAGTTTTTTACTATAGGTCTCAGGTGATATCTGGTGACATTCTTAGCCTTTTGATTGGTGAGACCGGGTGGTCTGCTAGGATAATATATTCTAAAAGGTTTATCTGTTAGTCACAGGATGTTAGATCAGAAACAGGTGGGCAAGGAGTGGCTGTTTAGGGGACTAAAGATGGCCTGAGATAAATGGTAATTAGACTGTGGACCTGCAACATTCCAAACATTGAACAATCTCCGGAGTGATAATCAGTTGGTCAGTCTTGCAGAAAGTTCAGTCCAAGGTGCAGGAGTTCTTTTTGGGAACTTTTCTTTCACATATCTAAACCTGTCTGCACCTGACAGCCAGAAGGACGCCCTACCAGTGGGAGAAAAAACCTACCCATGTCTTTGTCTAGGGTGTATGAAAGCAGAGCGTGACTCTAATACTCAGCAAGGGCCCTTTTGCTATCTATTTACCTGTCAAAAATATGGCTGCATTATATTCCCTCAGTAGGAGAAAATGACTTCTGTAAATTGTCCTCTGTGTTAAATATAAGGAAAAAAACAAGAGAAAGACACAAGGTTGTGTTAGGGGTTGGATCTACAGCAACCCCCTCCCCAATGCAACAGGGCCTCATAGTTTTGGAAGCCCTCTGGAATTACAGGGACTGAGTTAATGAGCACCCTGACTGCCTCCAGACAAGATAAATAGACCCTGCACCTATGACCCAAGACCCGATCGCTGCAAGAGCTGTTTCAGCACAGCCTGCTTCCCCTTTGATAGTCTTAAAAGACAAACAGACCCCTACACCGCAGACACATGGATGTAGGAATTGTCTCAATACAAGCTATTTCCCCCTGAGAAGTTTCACTCTTATCCCATGACCCAGATCCTGGCTGATGGAAGGGGGAGGTTTGACCAAGGGTGTTCTCTCCTGATAAGCCCTGGACTCCTCTCTCTCTCTCTCTCTCTCTCTCTCTCTCTCTCTCTCTCAACTTGTTTTAAGGAATATCTTCCTGCCTTCCACATCCCCCAAAACCCCGTATAAAAGCCCCCAGCCAACAACCTGTAAACTGACAGCTCCTCTATCCTGAGTGGGGAACTATCCCATGTGTTTTCTCTGCCAATAAACTCTATCTGATTGGAGTTCTTGTCTGTGTCCTGGTGCTTTCTCCTGATTTGGACCCAGATTTTTACCTATCAATTGGTTCTGAAAAGAAGCTTGACACATAGTTACCCTTTTAGGAATGAGGTTTATTAGGAAAAAGAATCTGGAGACCATAATCAGGCCTTGAACTGAAAGAGTATTAGAAAAAAAGGCACTACTACTACTACTACTACTACTACTACTACTACTCACACACAAACTATATGTATATAAAAAATACCATAACAGGACTTAAAGGCAAGGAGATATTTTCTGGTAAAATCCAGATAGGAACTTCATTAATAATGACAATAGGAGAGATAGATAGATGAGAGGGCAAGAGAGAGAGAGAGAACTCAGAAAAATAGAGGAGTCTTTATAGCTATCTTCCCCACAAACAGGATACCTAACTTTTATATGCTTTCAGGGGATGGTGGGAAATTACACACCAGGGGATGCAGAAACTGTTTCTTCCTCTTCCTCTTCTTTTTCCTCCTCCTCCTCCTCTTCCTCTTCCTCTTCTTCACCTCCTCCTCTTCCTCTTCCTTTTCTTCTCCTTCCTCCCCCTTCTCCTCCTCCTCCTTCTTATTCTTCTTTCTCCTCCTCCTCCCTCTCCTCCTCTTCCTCTTCCTCCTCTTCTTTTTATTCTTGAGATAGGTCTCCCTTTACCCCTAGATGGCCTGAAACTCACTATGTAAATCAGACTGGCTTGGATTTCAAAGAGATCCATCTGCTTCTACCTCTGGGATTAAAGGCATGAGCCAACCATGTCTGCCACATAACATGTTCTTAACTCTCTGTCGAATGGAGAGAGCAGCAGAGTGAGAACCTGATTCTTCATGGATCTGGTCTCTTGAGACTGACTATCTTCTTAAAGAGGCAGACCCATATTTTAATACCCTAACTGCCACACACATACTGTGTCACAGGGGTGCCTGCACTCACACATTCATCATACACACACAATAATAATACATTAAATGCTTTAAAAAGAAAAGTAATGGAGCAAGACAAAAATAAGGTTACAACTACTGATAGTTTTATAAATGGGACTTATCTCTCTGTTTAAGGATATTCTTTTATTTGCTTGAAGAAAATGTTTACATCTCCTATTAGTTTGTAGGTATTTATATTAGTTTGCTTTGCTTTGTAGATATTTGTAAGTAGACATAGAGACAAACTCTATGATAGCCTCAAGACAGTTATAAGTCTTATAAAAACCCACAACCATAAACTGATTCCTTTCTGCAAACAAGTCCTCCCACCAATAGAGACCCTTTGTCAAAACAAAGCATGCCGTGAGCTCTTTACAAGACATTCTGTGCCTACTCAACCCCCACAACTCTATATCCACATGCAAACATACTTAAACTCTCTTGCTACTTGACTGGTGTGGCTGCTGCCAATTTCTACCAGTCAGCTTGTCACCCCTCATTGACTATAATAAAGGTCAATCTGGATTATGGAGGTTGGTTGCTTGTTTTTTCTACCTGTGACACTTATTCCCAACATTTCGGTACCAAAACTTGAGAGGATCTTCTGAACAGGATACTCTTTCTAACACCCCTTCTCTTTTCCTTCCCCTTTCCCCCATCAGATTTTGATGCTAAATGGCAGCCAGTATGTGACCTCGAGACCTTGTCCCACCTGGTGCCATGTTTTCTGGAACTGTTACATAGGCAGGAAAGGCCTTCGTCTGAAGGCCATATTGGTTTCATTTAGGAACCTGCAAGGGAAATACCTAAAATTTCTTGTTTCCTTTCTCTCCCATCTCCAGAAGCCTTTTTCCATTTTCTGTAACTGCATCTAACACCTTTTTTGACCTGGGAAACAGTAAAGATAAGGATCCAGACACATTTAGAGGTGCCCTGAATGTCTTCTTCCCAGACTCCAGGGTCCCATCTTTCCATTTTGTTCCCTTGGACCCAGGGGTGCCCAGGCTTTGCACAAAACCCTTCCAGGCTCTTTGTCTCTCTGGCTTTTCCCTGGTACCAAGTGATGCCTTGTTGCCACAGATTTGGCCCTCTCCCTAATTTCACTGCCTACTATGGGGTCCCAACTATCCCACAAGATAATACATTGGCTTGTCTCAAAATAAAAAACTCTCACAACCCGATCTTACTGAACTGAAATCTAAATTTAGTCCAAACACCAATTTGATAACAGAAACATTTGACCTTAATTCAGAAATTTCAATCCAACCAATTTATGGAACTTAGATAACTTCCTCCAATGAAATGGCAAATGGTCTGAGGTCCCTTATGTCCAAGCCTTCTTTTATCTTTGCTCCTGCCCATCTCTCTGTTCATCTCTATCCAGATACCAAGTCCTATTGCAGGACCTTGCCCCCACTGTCCCCTCTCCTATCTGGGTTCCCAACTTTTCACTAATTGCCCAACCATTGCATGATGCAACTAAGGACTCCTCAGAGAAACCCCTCCTATCTCCCTTTTCTTGTGCTATCCCAATAAGAGCCTTAAAACAAGCCCTAGCCAAGGCCTTCACTCTTTCCCTAACTATCCTAAGCCATTCTCCTTTTTCCTAAATTATGACAAGGGACAGGCTTTGGCCCTCCTCTGCCAGAAGGCTGGTGAGACTTATTACCCATCGCACATCTCTCTAAACAACTCCACTCAGTATGCCCTATACCCTGGCTGTCCATCTTGCCTTTCAGCAGTCATGGCTGCACCCTTCTAATTCCAGAGACCAATACATGAACCTTACGCAGCCCACTCATAATTCTCTCTTCACTCTCTAGAGAACCTTCTCAACCATCCCATACTTCTGACCCTACCCCCTGCCCAAACATAACTCCTTTCTCAACCCCAACTTCAATTTCCAAACCTGCTCCCATCTTAACCCAGCCACCATCCTCCCCATATCTTCTACCTCCCCACTAGACCCCTATGTTCCAGTTCACTCCTGCTCTGACACTCTTGATCTTGCCCTCAACCGTTTTTCCTACATAACTCACAGTCACATCCCAGAGGCACTCAACTGGTTCATAAATGGGAGTTCACAAACACCCTGCCATATGCCCTAAGATATGCCGTCTTGGAAGGGTGCCTCATAAGCCCTCTGATCAAGTAGTTTTCTCCAAAACTACATACACATTAAATTTTAGCAATCAGAATGTTCCAAGTATTCCAATATTAGAATCAATTGGAACATCATAATGCTACAGGTAATGGTTCTTATATACATACTTTATTCCATGCATGATATTTAAAATGTTGCATTGATTTATCTGTAAGCTTTGAGTATAAGGTATGTACAAAATAAAAATGATTTTTTTTTACACTGGGACCAATTGACAACATATCTCATGGATATCAACTATTTAAAAATCCAGCATTTTTGTCACTAGTATGATTGAGAATGTACATAATACTGTAGATTTAAAGGCGTATTTAAATGTGATATAGACTTTCAACATTTTCCAGGAAGATAGTATAACACAATCACACATGAATACCATTGTTTTTATTGCAGCTATCCTCAAACCACCTTGCAGAGCATACAATCTGAACATATTCAAAAATTCTTAGAGGTCATGGAACAATTCTGGTAAATCATTAATAGCCAAAATCTTAGTAATGGTTTCCTTTCATTTTTTTTTTTTTTTGTAGCTGTGAACTGGAAGAGAAACTGAGTGAATGTAAAGAAGGTCATCCATGTGCAAAAATTTTCAATTGCTCTCCAGAGCATATTGTGAATCAGAAATCTTATCCAGAAGTTCCTATATATGAAAGTCAAATGTGTGGAGAAGTAGGCATTGGCCATTTATCTCTAAGTGTGCTACTTAAACTTCATCCTGTACACAAACCATATGAAGATCAGGAACATGGAAAGAAGTTGTACAAACATAAAGAATTTGGAAACACCTTCTTTTCCTCCCCATTCTTTCCAATGCATAAAAGGACTTACACTGGAGAGATTCCTAAAAATAATCACTGTGGGAACATAGAACAAGGGATGAAGAGAACACTAATGCATCTTTCAAGTCTCATCAGTGAAGCTCCCTCATGAGGGTCAGGTGCACAAAAGATCACAAATGGCCAAACACACAGGGAATAAGAGTTAACAGAGTGTGGGTCATTGGACAAGACTCCTATATTGAGGTCTCAGGGACCGTTGTGGAAAAGGGGGTGGAAAGATCGTAAGAGGCAGGGAGGAGGTGCATGGCCATACAGAAATAGTCCTTCAGGTGCTTGGGACCCTTCTCACACAAACCTACAGCAATGGTATCAGCATGCAGAAGACCTATGCAAACTTAGGTAGACAAAAACCCAGCACAGAACTGTGGAAATGAACAGCAAGCCCCAACTGTAGTTGAAGAATTATTGGCAGCTAAAAACTGCTGGACGAAGAAGAGCTGATCTTCTTGAAGGGAGAGACTCTAGATAGGCTGACTAAACCCTGGTGGATGAACTTGCACCAAGGGAGACATCTTGGGACATTAACTTTACATAATAGGCCTAAATAGAAATGACAGAATGTATGACCTTCCATGGGGCGGGGCTGTGGGAAGGTGCCATAGGAGCAGGGTGAAGAGGGTATAAAGATGATTTTATGTATGAACTACACAAAAATCCAATTCAAAATTTATTTTTTAAAAATCCCTGGGGGGACTGGAGAGATGGCTCAGTGGTTAAGAACACTGGTTGTTCTTGTAGAAGACCCAGGTTTGAATCCCAGCGCCCATATGGCAGCTAACAACTGTCTGTAATTCCAGTCCCAGGGGATCTGACAGCCTCTTCTGACCTCCATGGGCATTGCACAACACGGGTGCACTTACCTACACTCAGGCAATACACGCATACACATTTTAAAAAAGTTAAAAAAAAATCACTGTGATGAAGACTAGGTGTTTCTGATCTGGTCAAACTCACAAAAGGAGTTTCACTGAAGAAAAACACTAGCATAAGCAATGTGAGAAAGGTTTCATTTCTTCCAGTTCCTTTCAAAGGTATAAACAATATTATAGTCAGAAGAAAGGCTATGTATGTAACCAGCCACTCCTCCCAGTGTTCTAAAATAAAAAATTAAAATTAACAGTTGCAAGATGCTCTGTGTGTGTAAGCATTATGGGAAAACCTTTACTCATTCTAATTCTCATTTAATACATGAAAGAATTTGCACTGAAGAGAAACCCTATGTATGTAAGGTATGTAGGAAAGCCTTCTTTGAAGCAATTACAAAGACAGGAAGTCATTCACAGTAGCAAGAATCTCTAAGTTTGTAAGCAATGTGGGAAAAATCTTCTAATGAATGGGTACCTTTCAAAGACACACACACACACAAACTTCATATTAGAGAAAAACCCTATATATAAGCAATATGGGAAAGCTTTTGGAAATTCTGTTTATCTGAGAAAGCATGGATAAAGTCCCAAGGGAATGAAACCTTTTGATTGTAATTAATGTAGGAACAGTTTCTGTTTGAAATGTTCCCTTTCAGTACATGAAAGAAGTCACACTGGGGAAAAGTCCTATAACTGCAAGCAATGTGGTAAAGCCTTTTGTAGTACTAAATTTTGGAGTAGACATGAAAAAGCTCACACTACAGAGAAGCTTTATGCATGTAAGCAGTGTTGGAAAGCCTTTAGCACTTCCAGTTACTTCCAAATCAATGAAAGAATTCATACTGAAAAGAAACCTTTTGCATGTGCACTATGTGGGAAAGCCTTCAATTCTTCCCATTATCTCCACATAGATGAAAAAATTCCCAGTGGAGAATTCACAATGAAGTGTGCCTACAGTGTGGAAAAATGGCCAATGATTCCAGTTCCTATCATAGACATGAAAGAATTCACTAGAGAGTTACCTTACATGCAGAAACTTAACACCTTTACAGCCTTCATAAGAATACACACAGAGGGGCCAGGTGTAGTGGCATATGCCTATAGTCCCAACACTTGGGAGGCAGAGGCAGGCAGATCTCTGTGAATTCAAGGCCAGCCTGGTCTACACAATGAGTTCCAGGCTGGGGGCTGGGGGCTACAGGGAGACCCTGTTTCAAAAAGACTGAAAAAACAAACAAACAATACACACAGAGACAACAGGAGTCAGTGTAAAGAATGTGGAACACCTCTTGGAATAATTTAAACATTAAGAAAGAACATGGTATGGAGAGTGAATTTGACTAGATATCCAAAAAAATCTTCATTGACACAGATGTGCTTGCAGTGGGAGACCATAACTCTCACTTACAGGAGGAAACCACAGGTCCAGCTCACAGAAGGAGACCACAGCTCCAGATTTATGGGAGAAGATCACAACTCTGGCTCATTGGAGGGGACCACAGCTCCAGCTTATAGGAGTGGATCACAACTCTGGCTCACAGGAGGAGACCACAGTTCCAGGTTTTAAAATATCAACTTCCATCATTTGCTTCTGTCCATGTTTTCTTGACCAGTTCTTTTTTATCTTCCAAAATGTGTGTTGCCGGGCTAGAGAGATGGTTTAGCAGTTAAGAGCACCGAGTGCTCTTGCAGAGGACCCGGGTTCGATTCCCAGCACTCACGTGATGGCTACGAACCATTCTTAACTCCAGTTCCAGGGGAATCTGAAGCCCTCTCTGACCTCTGCAGCACTGCATGACATGGGTGCACTCACATACATGCAGACAATACACTCATACACATAAAAATAATAAATAAAAATTTTAAAATTATTTCAAAAATGTGTGCTGCATCTGAGATAATGAAGTGTTTTAAAACATCACAGCTAGTGAAGTCGGATAGCCATCTGCAGCTACCTACATGTTTGTTACACACAGCTGTGGTCCTGGTAGCTTTTTTCAATTGTCTTTTATGACAAATTTTTGGAAAACATTTGTTCAATAATCTTCATACATCTTCAAACACAGGCTTTGTTGTATCTGGAAAAACTCACCCACCTATCTGGCCATGGTTACCCGGGGCCTCTGCTGTCCACCATGTGCATGCACAGGCCTTCCACCCACAATAAAAGCTATTGTTTGCTTTTTTCATAGCCATTCTGGTTGGAGTGAACCTAATGGTGCTGGACATTTTGTCAATTGGCCATTTGTTTGAAAATTGTTCATTTCTCTGTGTACTGATTCAGCTATTTGGTATGTGAAATCTAATGTTTTTCTTGTTTTGGTTTCTTCAGACAGTGTCTCATGCAAGTATTTCAGGCTTGCATCTAACTTACTATTTAAATAAGGCCGTTCAAAACTTCAACTTCTACATCCCAAATTCTGGAGTTACATGGGTGAACATCATGCCTAACTAAATTTTTTAGTTTAAAAAGTATGTTCTGCACATTAATCCTTTGTCTGATGAATAACTATCTCTCATTATACAGGCTTCCTCTTGGTTGTGCTCTGGAAATTGTTTCCTATGCAGAATCTTTTAACTGGATGCATCCTGTTTTTTTCTTTTCTTTTATTTCTTTTCTTTTCTCTTTCTTTCTCCCTCCCTCCCTCTCTCCCTCCTTCCCTTCCTCTCTTCCTTCCTTCCTTCCCTTTCCTTCCTTCTTTCCTTTTTCTCTCTTTTTTCTTTCTTTTCTTTTTCCTTCTTTCTCCCTCTCTTTCTTTCTTTCTTTCTTTCTTTCTTTCTTTTTTTCTTTTTCTTTCTTTCTTCTCTTTCATTGCTATGTAGCCCTTGCAGGTCAGGAATTCACTGTATAAACCAGGTCACCAACAAATTTGCAGTGATCTTCCTGGTTCTGTTTCTTGAGTAGTGAGTGACATTATACACATGAGCCACTATGCATTTTTTACTGTCATTCTTCCTGTTAGGTCATGAGTTATTGGAATAAAAAAGTCATTGTCTATGACTATCTCTAGACATATTTTCCCTACAGATTTCAGTGTTTTTAGGCGTTATCTTATGGTTTGGGGTTCATTTTGAATTGTGAAATATAGGGATCTAGTTTTGTCTTGTACATATGGATGTCCAGTTTCCTTGGTATCATTTCCTGAAGAGTCTACTCATTGTCCAACACATAGTCTTGGCACCTTTGTTGAAGATCAGGTGAGTGTTGATGTATGGTTATTTCTGGGGCTTTGCTCTCCTGTTCCATTGCTCTATTACTGTATCAGTTCTTAAGATACTATCATGTTTTTGTTACTATACTATAATAAGAAAAGTTTTAAATGGAATACATATTTTTTTTCTTTTTTTGAGACAGGGTCTCCCTGTCACCCCAGCAGGCCTGGAACTTGCTATGTAGACCAGGCTGGCCTTGAACTCACAGAAATCTGCCTCCTCTACATCCAGAGTGCTGTGATTAAAGGTGTGCGCCACCACACCCAACTTAAATTTAATATTTTAATGCCTTTTGCTAGTATTGTTCTTTTTCCTCAGGATTATTTTGGCTATTCAGGGTGTTTTGTGTTTCCTTATAATTTTAGTATTTGCAATTTCTGTGAATAGTATCATTGAAATTTTTATTGTATTGAATCCGAAGATCACATTTTTTTTCATATTAGTAATGAATTTGATTTGTGAACATAGAAAATCTGTCCATTTCCTAGAATATTCTTCAATTTCTTGTGTTTTATCATACAGACATACAGATCTTTCACCAGTTTGGTTAAATATATATATATACTTTTTTTTTTTGCCTTGTTTTTGAGCCTATTGTGAAGAGGACTTTTTTTTCCTGATTTTTTTTTTTCTCAACATTTTCATTGTTGGTAGATAAAAAGCTACCTACTTTACTGAAATTGTTGGTCAGATCTGAGGGCTTCTAATAGGGTTGTTAGGGTTTTTAATTATAGGATCTTATTATGTGCAAATAGGATAATTTGACTTCGTATTTCCCTCCTTTCCTTCCTTCCTTTTTTAAAAGTAGTGTGGAATTGGGCCTTCGGCTTAATGTGTGCCAGGAAAATATACTATGGAACCACATCCCTGTCCCTGTTTCATTTTTCTTTCTCTTACTTTTCTTTTTTATGGATCAGTATTCAAGATCCATATTGAGTAAGAGTATCAAAAGTGGGCACTCTTGCCCCATTTCTGTTTGTTGATAAAAATGATTTCAATTTTCCTTCATTCAGTATAATCTTGACCCTATATATGTCACTTTTGACCTCTATTGAACTTAGATATGTTCCTTCTTCTCCTGAAATATTCAGTGCTTTGTCATCAAGGGACATTGAACTTAGTCTGTCCTTTTCTGATACTATTGAGATGATCATGTGATTTCAGTCTTTGAGAGTCTATGTGATATACCTACCAATTTATGTATTGAACCATTCTTATATCCACGGAATGAAATTTACCTGATGGTGGTACATGGTCCTTTTAAAATGTTTAACTGCTCTGAAAGTATTTTACTGAAAATTTTTGTGTCTATATTC